GGTCAGCGAGGGAGACAGCAACTGGCCGAGCAAGCGGCTCAAGGGCAGTGCGGTCACGAAAGAAACAGCGAGAAGCACCTGAGTCCAGTGTGAAGGTGTGTAGTGCCTCAGTCGACTCAGTACCAGGGGGCGCAGACTCACTAGCACCTAGAGCAGCAGCCTCACCAGCACCTAGAGCGGTAGCCTCACTGGTCCGAATGCCCGGGTCGGGCGGAACACGCAGGTACTGAGCACTCTCTCCACTAGTAGACATCACATACATGGCAGTGAGAATAGCATCAAAGTCTAGAGCATAGAAATCAATGTTCTTTTTCATCAGATCAGCCCAGCGGGGCAGCTCAGTGGCATCAGGGAACTGAGTACGCCAAGCGTCGTCGAGGCGAGAGAAGCAGCGCTGCGTGGTGTGCGCCCTCCCACACGTCTGACCAGTGCGGTCACTAGTGCGGATGACGTACGTGCAGCTAAGGCCACCCCCCCCCCCGTGCTGAGAGTACCACTCACGGAGCTCCTGGGGCGACAGAGTGCGCTGCTGGCTCTGGCCACTGCCAGAGCCTCCACGACCACCACCGCCGCCGCCACCTCCTCGACCACCCCCTCCCCTGCCGCCGCCACGACCACCGCCGCCCCCACCACCGCCCTCGCCCCTGCCACCTCCCCCGCCGCTGCCGCCACCACCCCCACCGCTGCCACTAGTCCCTCCAGCCCCACCACCACCCCCACCGCCTCCACCGCCCCCACCACCGCCTCCCCCGCCGTCACCTCCGCCTCCCTTGCCCCCTTTGCCCTTGCCGCTGCGGCGCCAGCTCGAAGTGGACGCAGTCCCGACCTTCTCAGCACCAAGGAGGTCGGCAGCAGAAGCAGAGGCTACAGAGGGAAGAAGGGGGGAAGGGGAACACCCCTCAAAGAAAGGGGTGCGGGGGTCGCCACGAGAGGCACCTACAGCGACTATGCTAGCCTCAGCTGCAAGTAGTTCCTTCTCGAGGAGGGCAATGGTGAGCTCAGTGGGGCAGCGAGATAGGAAGTGATCCCTGACTGCACGCAGAGTGTCAGGGAGGCGGGTGACTAGGTGGTAGAGAGTGAGCCAGAGCGGGGGGGGGTTCGTGGCAAGAAACTCATCGGGCATAGCGGCACGGAAGCGGGCCTCACTAGTACGGAGGTGCGTGATGAGGTCAGCGACTGTGTGGAAAGAGGCCAGGTCGGGGAACAGGTAGGGGAGTGAGAGACGGCCTAGCGCGGCAGAGGCAGGTGAGGAGTAGCGGGCAACGACAGCGGTGTACAGTGCCTGTGCAGTCTTGTGCTGGCCAAAGTGCTCCCGCTCATCTATCGGCAGGGAGTTGCGAATAGCAAAGCGAGCGTGGGCGTCACGAGTCTGCCACTGTGAGCGGGCAGTGCTGTCAGCAGTAGCAGCAGGGGCAGTGGCATGGCCTAAGGCGTGATCGTACAGTGAGATGTCTTCCTTGGCAGTGAGTTGTAGGAATAGGTGCAGGTCATCGAGCCAGGTGTCAAACTTCACTGGGCGGCCCTCAGCATCGAAAGCTAGTACAGGGGGGCTAGCCATAGTGACAGTAGGAGCAGTAGTAGTAGTAGTAGCAGAAACAGCAGTAGTGACAGTAGCAGTGACAGAATCAGGGGCGCGGCTCGGTAGGGCGGCGCGGCTCGGGCCGGGTGACGCGGTTCGGTGGGGCGGCTCGGCTCGGCTAGGCAGCGGCTACTCGAGGTGGGGCACGTGAGGGCATGCAGGGCAGAGTGGGGCGGTCCGCACGGGGCACGAGGTGGCGAGCTAGCTAGGGCGGGGCCTGGTCGCACGAGGCCAGCAAGGGCGGGCTAGTGGGGCGGGGCCGGTACGCTAGGGGCACGCGAGGGCGTGCAAAGCGGCTGCTCTGGGTCCAGGGGCGGCTGCACCAGGGGCGACTGCTTCAGGGGCCAGGGGCGGCTGCTCTAGGGTCCAGGGGCGGCTGCACCAGGGGCGGCTGCTTCAGGGGCTGTAGCAGCAGTAGCTTCAGTCAGGAGCAGCTGCAGTAAGCGCTGGAGAAGGAGCTACAGCAGTAGCACTAGCTGTAGCAAGTGTAGTAGTAGGAGCTGCAGCAGTAGCACTAGCTGTAGCAAGTGTAGTAGTAGGAGCTGCAGCAGTAGCACTAGCTGTAGCAAGTGTAGTAGTAGGAGCTGCAGCAGTAGCACTAGCTGTAGCAAGTGTAGTAGTAGGAGCTGCAGCAGTAGCACTAGCTGTAGCAAGTGTAGTAGTAGGAGCTGCAGCAGTAGCACTAGCTGTAGCTGGAGTAGTTTCAGACAATAGTAGCTGTAGCAAGTGCCGTAGTAGCAGTGGCAGCAGTAGCACTAGTTGTAGCAGCACTAGCTTCAGTAGCAGCAGCAGTGAGTAACAGTAACACGGGCCGCGTGCGGGCCAGTCGCGGGCTGTAAGGGCTGCGTGCGGGCCTGGCGCGGGCTTTACGCGCTGGGTGCGAGCCTGACGTGAGCTGTACGGGCTGCCCGACGGCCTGGCGCGGGCTGTACGGGCTGCGCGACGGCCTGGTGCGGGCTGTACGGGCTTCGCGACGGGTCTACACGGGCTGTACAGGCTTCGCGACGGGCCTACGCGGGCTGTACGGGCTTCGCGACGGGCCTACGTGGGCTGTACGGGCTTCGCGACGGGCCTACGCGTTCAGGGGGGGGGTCGCACGTGACTAGGAGGAAAAAAAAATCGCGCCTAGGGAACCGTCTCGCCTAGAGCACGGTTTCAAATTTCGCATTTCTCCTAGGGGCGCGACTCGGGCAGTAGATCGAAATAGTAGTGGTGGGCCCTTTTTAAAAAATCGGTCCTAAGGAGCATTGTGCTCTTAATACCATGTTAGAATCACTAGCTAGGGAACGAGAAAGGTGTTGATTAGGTGAAGATTGGGGTACAAGACTAGAGTGTCGAGACTATTTGTGTACCCCCTAAGGCTAGCCCCAATATAGCCTAGATACAATTATGCATATGTTTTGACACGCCGCTCGCGCGAAATATGCAGGTGTTTTTCGTTATGAATATACAAGACCCCCCCGCCCGAATCTGAGCCGTACACCCTAAATAGCATATTCATAGTTGTTAAATAAGTAACCACTGGTCTTGAAAAATTGCTTTCGTCATGATGTCCACCCAAGCATATTTCCAAGCATTTGTAGAGAGTCCCCTGTGTCTTACAGCTGGATCTATATGGGATATACATATATATAATAATATATATAGTTGTCGTCACCGCCTATACCGCGTGTATCAATGTTTTCTCCATTGCACACATGTAGTGTCTTTTACCATTTCGTAACAATTGATTCGACTGTTGTTCTTTCTACCACCACCATCGCGCCCAAACTGCATGGTTCAATTGGTATCCCGCCACTCGGCCTTCCGCCTCGATAATTTTCGACCTCGGAACTAGGCTCGTGGGGCACCTCTTCGCTCGTTCGTTACCGTTACCATTTAAAATATTTTTTCAACGACTCGCTTATGTCTTCGCTTTCTGTAATCTTGTGCATGACGCAATTCTAGCTCGTTGACTCAATTGCACATGTAACACTGACACAATAGAGCATGCTTCCTAGATGTTGGTAAATCTGGACCACTTGAAACACGCCCTAGGTAGTTGTAATCAGAGTCTAGGTATTGCCTTCCATAGTAGTAACGTTGCGCATTCACTTTCTTGCTACAGCTCGCTGTTCCAGCACTTACGCGCGTGACTTTCCTGGTAACACTCTTTGTCGCTCATAACAACCGATGCTGTGCTCCCCAATTCGAACAAAGTGCCAACCGTGCAGCACCGTCATTTTCGAAGTGGAGCCACCCACTCGCGCTCAACGCGGCGGTCCTTCGGGTAGTGCACTCGGCCATGCCAACACATCGTGTAAGCTCGCCACGTCGCTCCGCCACATGCGAGACATGCCACTCGACGCATCCGCCCGGAGTGTATCTAGACTGCCAGCGACCTTCCGGCCACTCGGCCGGACAGTCGTCTCGCGGTATTGCAAACCCCGCGAGAAATCCCGCAAGCAAGGTCTAGTAGGAGTCGCAGCTGCCGCGGCCATCGTTCGGGTTGACGAGTTTCGCGGTGGCTGGACTCCGTGGGTGAGCTGTGCGCGTATCATGCCACACCTCGTTGACACCACCGCACCCGTGCACACGACGGTGTGTATGAGTCACTGCGAAGCGCGCCCGCTGTCAGCGCACCCCCGCTCGCGCATGATAGCGAGCGGTGATGACGGAAGATGGCAGGGGCTGTGGTTTGAGAGGTGGGTTGCGTTGTAAGAAGCAAGCATCCACCGCAGGCTTACAGAAAGAGCTACAAGTTTACCGTTGCTGTGCCTCGAAACAGCTCCCTGGACTCAGGGGCGTTACTCGAACTGCTGTATGGAGTCACAAACAATGCGCGAATTGTGGGAGGAATACAGGGGGTTGTTGCTTGCAGCAGGTCGGAGTGGCCAGTGTGGTTGGCAGTGGTGAGTCCAGGGGCCATGGAGAAGGGAAGGGAGGGGAGGGTAGTAGTACGCACTAGGTTCGGAGCACATGGCGCCTGCCACAGCCCTGTGAGCGGCCAAGGGCAGCGATGCTTCCCCATGGGCGCTGCTTGCCGTGGGACACGGATGGGATACAGCGAGAGACACGGATGGGAAGTAGGAGAAGAAGCTAGAGAGAGAGATCATTGCATGTGCTGTGATCACTGATCAGTCCCCATGCGGACAGTGGCAGGCAGTGGCACATGAAGGCTGTGGTTTCCATCGTGTGCTGTGCACTTGCTGGGAGCCTCGCTTCGCTTGCAGCTGTCTTGTGATTCACGTCCGATAACACGCGTGCTTCGTGCAGAGGCAGTGTGTTGCACAAAGCATGCACCCTGCTGTATGGCGCCGAGTACAGGCCAGCACTGGTGAAAAGAAATGGCGCTGGGTGTCATCATCATCAGCACATGCATGCTATGCGGCAACAACAGGATCATGCTTTTCTCTAACCCTATGCATTTTTGTTGAAGCAGGAGCCATACCGAGGGTTGGAGCTGCTGCTGCTGCTGGGCAGTTTTGTATGGCTTGTGCCACCCTGGGGTGCAGCTGCAGTGCGACTACACCCTTACGATGGTGGGCTAACTGATTTGCTTAGTCCTCTCAAGAGCAATTGCAGTAGCTGATTAGCACAGCACAGCAGTGAAAGATACTGGCAGTCTGTATTAGTCGTTGCACTAACGACACAGAAGATGCGCGTCCATCCCACTCAAATCCATGCACCCCTTGTACCTGACCCCATCCGTGCCTCCATCCCAGCCTCCAAACTTGCAGTGCTGGCCAGCGAGTGGGGCAACTTCAATGGCAGCGACACATGGCAGCGTCGCGAGGTGGACTGCCATGCAATGGAGGGCATCCGGTGTGACAGGGACGGCCACGTCACTGCCATGTGAGCGCACGCATGGACAGTCTGGGCCCACCCAGGCCGTGCAGCCAGCTAGTGTGTGTGTGCAGTGTGTGCATGGCCCAGCGCCTCTGAGGGAGTGGTGGAGCGTGGTGTGGAGTGGAACAGTGCAACTCACTTGCTCACCGCTGCTATGCTCTGCAGCTTCATGCCCCTCACTGGGATTCAACACCAAAATCACCAATCGCCTCCCAATGTGCTTTCCGTTTTTGTGTCTTCCAATTGATGCAATGCTTTTCTATTTGTTTCTCAGAACCCTGCAAACCACGCTTTATGCCATACTGATACTGATGCTTCTTCTCATACCACGTTGACACTTTGCCATACCATGTGGCATGCCACATTTTCAAAAGAAATGCATGTGACAGTGAGCATTGTTCTTCCGCCAAATGAGTCCATTCACCACAGAGTACTGGAAGATTTCGAACTGGGTGCACCAATACCTGACACAATCAGCCACTTCCAACGCCTCACATACCTGTGAGCTCTTATTGCATCTCCCTGCACGTCAAGCACTCATCAGGACCTGCAATTATGACTCAGAATTGAGATTGATTTCTTTCTGCTGTGTGCTCCTCCCTCCACGCCCAGAGGGCTCTAGATTTGCCACCAGGTCTGGTCCGTGGTCTCAACGGTGCTGTGCCACAGGGGTCTCCCTCAGCACCATTGGCCCTCTCACCACCATTGCCCCTCTCAGCACCGTTGCCCCTCTCAGCAGTTTTGGGATGGCTCGAGATTGGCTTAAGTTGGTCCGCACCGGCCGAGGTCGGGCTGGCCTTGAGTGTCGGCCAGTGGCCCGACTCATGGGGCCGTCCGGTTCCTGGCCGGACTGGGACAGGCCGGTACCCCTTTCGAGATAGTCACATGAACAAAAGGGCGATCCAGGACCCTGGTGTTACAGGTAACCTAAACTGGGCATGTTTAGCAGCACGTTTAGAGACTAGCAATGCGAACACAATAGCACAGCCAACGTTCCCATTGTTGTGACTGAGCTGCTGTCGCGAGCAACTTGTCACACGGGGCAAATACTTAATAAGAACATGAGAGCTGGAATTCTGAAGTGAAATTCCTCTATACTTGTGGCCCATTTGCTTCCTCCCTCCTTGACCAGGAGGCTCTATTTCTGCCAAATCACCGGGACCATTCCGAGCAGCATCTCCAACTTAGCATCCCTTGTGTTGCTGTAAGGCCTCACTGATTCCGCCCTTACACCAGGCATTTTCCATCAGGCACTTACACTTACGCTTCCGTTCTTATGCGTATCATTAACACATGTGTTTACTAAGATCTCCTTCCACTTGTTTTTGTTACCACATCGCTTGCTCATCACAGTGTTTTAGGAGGCAATTCAATTTCAGGCAGCCTTCCTGCCAGCATCAGCCGTCTGACCCGCTTACAAATGCTGTGTGTATAGACATAAGCACAACCTTTGGTACATGGGCATAGATAGTAGAATGCAAGTGTGTGCATAGCTGTTGCAGCATAATTTCATATTTTTGCAACTGCAATATTTGTATTACACATGTCTCTATAAATAGAAGCATTGATTGCATGTGCACGATGTATTCTTACCTTTGATCTCCAGCATACGAAACCAATTTCTCTCCCGTTCCCCTTCCACAACATTCGCTTCTTCAATTTCAGGACTCTTGATTTCAACCGCATGTCTGGCCCAATAGACTCCATCTGCAACTTGACGCAACTGAGAAAATTGTCAGTCCTCTGCTGCAACTCCTTGTTTTGCCCGCTGCTAGCTACCCCTGTTAAACCTTTCTCTTTTTCACTCGCAGTACCTTGTATAAAATAAAGTTGAGGTTAGACACAGGGTGAGAAGGATAAACACACAGGGTGGCCTAAGAATGAAACTCAATGGCGTCACGTTGAGGAGACCACAACAAGTTATAACTTTACCGACCACCAATTCTGACCTTTCTAATTTTGTCCTTTTCCTCAAAGTCGTGCACATGTAATTATCTCGTTGTGACATTTCACTGTCAGATTTGTGCGCATCTGGCACTTGCTTGGTTGAAGCAGTTGGCGGGACCGGCTTTGGGGAAAGAGAGTGAGGGTTGCATAAATCAAGTTGTACTCGACTAGGGACCAAAAAAAACCCGAGCTTTCTTTGCTCGACTTTATGGTCGAATAACGAGTTGGTCTCAAGTGAAAAGAACTCGGTCCGAGTAAGTCCCGACTCGGCTTGAAACTCAATTGAGTAGCAAGAACGATTTAAGTTTTACTCGACTTGTAAAATACTCATGCTTAGTCAAGAAAAGGTTCGTTGCTTAAGCTATTCCTGGTAGAAGCCTAGGTGAGGAGGGAGATGAATTCCAAAGTAAAGGCTCTTCATTTTCTGTAGTGCTCACATCTCACTTTCTGAGTGTATGTTCCCTGTTACATATAAACCATCCAGGATTCTTACTCATAACCAGTTCAATGGTTCACTTCCTCAAGAGCTGGGCCTTAGTGGGAATATACGCTTATTGCGTATATACGCTTATCGTATATACGCACTCTTATATACGCTATACGCTGTAGGGACGGGTTTAGAAATACGCTTTTTCGGGCAGAAAAAAAACTTCCCGGGCAGGGTCAAAAAAAGGCCCGGGGGGGGGGGGGGGGGGGGGGTATGGGGGTGGGGTATGGGGCCTGAAGTTTCAGAGATTTTTTTTTTCCACATTACACATATACCACGGCCTACACATAACTACTGTCATCACTACTATCATCACTATCATCACTACTATCATCACTTACCATCATCACTTACCATCACTACTATCATCAGTACTCCATCACGACCATCACTTCTCTCTAAGACAAGCTACGTACTACTACTCCTTAGGACTAGCCGCCCACAGCAAGCCACATTTGCCCCCTCTAGTTAGCGTACTCGTCTTCGAGGATGTCGTCTTCGCCTTCCTCCTCATCCTCTCCCTTCGTCTCGTCTTCCAGCCCATTGTATCCCGCCGGGATTGGAGGCTCCGCTCCAATCCCGGGCACCACATGTGGCAAGACATCAACGCGCGTGTGCCAGTTGCGCACAACATTCCAGTTGTGCGCAACATAGACCAAGTCCCTGCACTTGGCGGATCCGAGCCTGTTGCGACGTGCGGTGTGGACGGCATCCCACGAGGACCATCCACGCTCACAAGGTGAGGCTGACACGGCCTGAGACAGCACCCGTACCGCGAGCCCCGCCACTCGAGGGGCATCAGTCCCATTCCACTGCCACCACTTCACCATGCTATACTTTCCCTCTTTCACCAGCTTCCTCTGTGCCACGGCTTCCGGCATCCCAAAAGAACCCTTCATGTCAAGGAACGCCCTCAGCCCGTCCCCCAGCTCAAGCAAGATGTCGCACGCGTCATCCCCCCCATCCTCGCGGCTCGCAAGGAACTCGGCCTGCTGGCTGATGAACGCCTTGAAGACTTTCGTGCACTCGGGATCAGTGCCGAAAATATCTTCCTCCTGATTCGCGGGGTTGAGGATGCGGCCAGCGACATGCATGGCGCATGCGAGGCTGCCGTCCCAGCGGTCTCTGAGGATGCGGCGGATCTTGTCCTTGTCCCCGTCGCTCAGCTGCTCCTCGTCCGCATCGAGCAAGCCCCCCACGTCCTCAGTCAACTGCAGCATCAAATCGTACAGCCTCCCCATCATCCCCACGGCATGCCCGTCCGTCTGCCTCATCACCTTAAAGGGCAGCTTCAGCAGTGCGACGAAGAACTCGGCCGTCTTCCACCAGGCGGCATCATGGATCAGCGCACTGAACCCGTCACACGATTTCTTCCGGTCCCCTACCGCCCACTCCTTCCAACCCTCGCTCGTCACCATGTTGGTAAGGCTGCCGCGCATCGCACATAGCCGGGATATGGCTATGTAGTTGGTCCCGAATCGGGTTCCAGCCGGCTTCAGCGCCTGCAGAACCTTCCCCTCCACCAATTCCGGCTTCCGCAGGTACCCTCGGGTCCAGTGGTGGTTGCGGACGAAGCTAGATATCTCCCCTCCCTTGTCGACCACCGGCTTAGCCCATCCCATCTTCCCGACATCTTCCATGAGAAGATCCAATACGTGAGTGGCGCACGGCACATCCTGAATGTGCGGCCACTCCTGTAAGAGCTGCTTCACCGCCACCGCATAGTTCGACCCCCCGTCCATGCAGAACGCAACAACGTTTTCTGGACCCACTTCCTCCACCACGGGCCTAAGAATTCCCGCCACATAACCTCCGGTTTTCCTCTCCATGTTGCAGTCAATACAGTCGGTGAAGACGGCGCCGGAATCGTTTACGAGAAGCACGTTGGCCTGCGGCCTGCCGTTGCGGTCCGTCATCATGTCGGACGAAACCGTCACGCCCGTCCTCTTCCAGCTCGCCTTAATGCCCACCAAACCCTGCTCGATTCCGTTGCGACACGAGAGAAGGCTAGCACCGCCGATGTATTTCCTCTTGGGAGGGACGTAGTCGACGCCGGCGCGCTTGACGAGGTTCAATGCATTGACCATCAGAGGATGGTCAATGTGGCGCTCGGGGATATGGAGGGCGGCCCAAGCAAGCGCAAGTGCCTCGTCCGCTTCTCTCTTTCTTGCAGCCGCATCCCCATCAAGGTAATCGGTGATGCGCGCCCGCTTCACACCATTAGCCTTGACCGCGGCAACCGCTTCAGCTGCTGCCCGCCTCTTCTCTTCGGCCGCAGCAGCCTTTGCCTCGTATTTCGCGCGCATGGCCAAGCGCACATCTTGCGGCGCATCCTTGCAAAGCACCACTTCACGGCGTTTCATCCCCTTCCACGACGTGAAGTGTTGCGCGCATCGGATGGCAGCACCAGTGTAGACGTTGCTGCAGAACTTGCACTCGTACTGCTGAGCTTTTCCCTCGACCCTCTTGATGATGCGGAAGTGCTTGAAGACGGCATGGTCAACGTCGGGGAGATACTCCCGTGCCTCGGTTAGAAGAGTTTGCGAACTGCCAACGGTGTTAACTGACGGTGGCGTTAGAGGAGAGGTAGTAGTCGTCGACATAGGCACCATGCGCTAGGGAACGCCTAGTGCTCTGCTGGTAGCGAGAGAAGACCTAATGAGTTGGATGTTGGGGGTGTGCTTGTTTTATGGCGAGTTGATTGTGGGAGTGGGAAGATGGCCAACAAAAATTGGAGAGGTGTTGGTTGCGAAGGGTTTGAATGCGGTACTGATAGTGAACACCAAAATGTGAGGGAACGTGCAGGCGCGACTCGAAGAACGTGACTTTCCATTTGCGACACGAACTTTCAACCCACGTCCACGCTAGCACACAGCGCGGACGTGCCATCTGACCCCGCCAATGTCTTCGTCGTGCAATTCCGAAGCGAACCGTATAGGTTGAAATTTTCTGGCCGGGCTGCCCCAAAAAAAATTTGGCGAGCGTATAGCGTATTCGATAGCGTTTAGCGTTTTGCGTATACACGCTAGCGTGTATACGCTAAACGCAAACAGGTTTGAGCGTATATTCCCACTTAGAGCTGGGCAACCTCAAGCAGCTCTTCAGCTTGTGAGATGCACACTGCGCCACTGCCCCTACAAGAAAGCTTGAAAAGCTAGTTGAAAGCCGAAGTAATTCTGTATCTTGGAGACAAGATGAGACAAGTAGGCTATGGTGAACGGCCAAAGGAAGATGGTGTTGCAATCCCACATTTGCTTGCTCTGTGGATCTCAAAACTGAATGCACTGTGGGCTTCAACCAATCCTTGTCTAGGTAATGGTCTGAAGAGTTGATGTATGATTTTCTAGCTGAAAAGGTTTCAATTACACAACTGTGGTGTTTCAGAGTGGATTTGAAAGTTAATGACGAGACTCACCCGAATGGTTTCAGAGTGCTTCAGTTCCGAGTGATTTTCTTCCTTTGGCCACCTGGCCTCCTCCCTTCCCCCATCAGGTCAAGGAGTACTCGTCCTGGTTTGAGATCTGGTAGGCAAGCGAAATGTGTGTGATAAGCTACCATCACCGGTCATTGAGCCATGGATAAATCATAACCCAGCAGGCTCGTGTTCTTAAACAACCTGACTCAGCTCAAACCGACCCCGTCTTGATCCCTTTTCAAGAGACAGGAGCCCAATTGTTCTGAGGAACCAGCTTCTCTCGGCGGTCAGGGTGTCTAGCCATGTCCGGCTCAAGCTGAATCCGACTCGCTTCGTGTCGTGCTCATGTCTATTTGAATCCCTTTTGCTGCTGCATTTCTGACGCTCTTTTCCTGCGTATTGCAATTTGCACATGCAGAAACCTTGCGCAGAACCGCTTCAATGGAAGCATCCCGTCATCTGTTGGTAACCTGGCTCTGGAGGGCTTGTATGACTGCAGCCTTGTGCACAAGATTTAGGGTTGTGGGAAGCTTTACAGAAATGAAGTTTACAACTTATTACCTGTTTTCTTGCAACATGTGTCGGACGTTTGAAGTCCATTGACGGCACGTGGCCTTTCAACACCTGAAGCCCCCTCACTCTGTATTGATTAGCACATGGCACTCACTCTCCTCTTGTTTCTCATACACGGCTTCTTATTGGCAGGGATATCAGCGTCAACCAGCTCTCGGGTTCCATTCCTGACTCCCTCAGCCGCTTGCAGGAGGTCACATACATGTGAGGTTACTGGCCATACTACACCTGGTCAATACTCTCTTTTCTCACTGCTGCTTAACATGCACGCGTGGATTGACCATAACAAGAGCGATTGACCATGATGAACTGGGGTGGAGGAAACATGTGACGTGAGGTGTGGGTGTAATGCCCAACCCCTCGTGTGAATGTCAACCTGAGCCTGGGTTCTGGTTTCAGTTCTTGTTGACTAAATTTGCTTGCCCATGGATTTGTTTTTTTATGACTCAATACTGAAATGAAACACATGCTGCGTTACCAGTGGGCGCACTTTTGAGATATTAAATCCTGTATGTCGCGTTGGTGCTTGCATTTGTAGTTCACAAATTGTCCCTCCAGCAAGGTGGTTTGGCAGATGCTTCGGCAAGGCTGTCAAAAACCAATATGCCACTCTTTCCTTCATCTGATGTCAGATGCCATACAGGCAACTCGCACAACTGAATCCATTGTGCACTCGTGATCTCTGCATGCTTAACATATTCCCCCTTCTTTCCATGCAACCACTTTCCCTTCTCATGGCTTTCTGCCAATCGTGAACCGTGCATGTGCATGGGGGCCTGCTCACTTGCACCAGCGCACTGGCAGAGAATCAGCTGACAGGATCCATTCCAGAGTCACTTGCAGCGCTCAATGGTTTGCACGGCCTGTGAGAATCTTTCACTCTCACAAACACCACTCCCACTTTGGGTTGCACAGCCAAAGCTGACCAATCCCGGATTCTTTTCCACACATGCCTTGAAACAGCATGCAGTGCCCGATTTTGCACTCCCTTGTGCTTGTTAAAGTGCTGCAACTGATTGTCTTGTAGTTGAGTTTGGACCTTAGAAGATTGTAGAGCAGCCTTTGTTCTGTATTGTCGTTGGTCGGAGTGAGCACGGACGAGCTTCAGATTGTCTCTGGTTTCATCCAAATTGGACATCCGAAAGGCACCGTACATCTTGAAGAGGTGCATCAGGTAAAACTAATGATGGATTGGACGCATCAAGTGTCATTGTCCCTAGTGTCAAAACGCGCCATGTCTTCCCCTCTCTGTTTCCTCACCTACTTCACCAGTAATTTGTATGTCCAACTACTTCAGTGTTTGTCCATTACCTATCGCTATTAATGACAGGACCTGTACATTAGCCATAGGTTGTGTGCGCAGCAGCAGCGGGCCAAAACATTACCAAGAAAGAAAGGAGAAGAGGAAAAAAGCAAGAAGAAATGAATTATATACAAATCGGCTGTACCGAGAGTGGACTTCTTCTGACCCTGAGCTTATAAAGGCTCTTGAGCCAACCCTATGATGCAGGCCTCAAGCTGGTCATGCACTGAATTGCTCGGCTGGACAGACATGAGGCCACAGCTTCTTCGAGACGAGCCTGCCTTTTGTCTTGGCTCGTTAGCGTGTCTACTGCAAGGCACACACATGGTGCTTTGCCTGCCTCTGGCCCTTCCCTAGGTACCTGCACAACAACCAATTGAGTGGGTCAATTCCGGCATCACTGGCATCACTGCAGAATCTGGAGTACCTGTAGGTGCATTTGTGACCCACCCAAGTCCGTTCCAATCGAGTTCTTTGTCATGTATATTATTCTTCATTGCCCCAATGTTCAGCTCCCGTAGTTCACTTGTTTCCCACATTCATGTTAATTTCTGTTGCATGCTATGCTCATTTGTACTGCACGAGCTCATGCATGTTGCACTGCACATCGTGCTCATGTTCAGATTTTTCGACATCAACAGTCTGTTAGGAAGCATACCTGCCTCCCTGGGTGACCTCCTGCAGCTCAAGTACATGTAGGCATCGTCTCCGTTTTGCCCATGTAGTACAATCGATTGAAACAGTTACATTGTGTAGGATGGATGGATGGATCTAGTCCAAAACCCCATTTCATTACGCAACCTGCTGCTCAGACACACAGCCTTGGGAGAAGTATGCATGGCATGGCAGTTTGGTGGCACCCGAGCATTCCATCGAGTTTGGTTTAGCTCGTATTTCCATTGTCAAGTTGAAATGGCAGACGGTGACCACCAGATCAGGCTCAAATCCTGCTGGAGCCACTACTTGGTGAATTGTCAGATGTGAATTATTTGAAGTTTGGAGTATATACAGACAGGCATGTTGCAAGTTTGTTCGCTCAAATCTGTCCCTATTCTAAAATTCTTTCTTGGCTCTGTAGTGAAGGCAACCTAAGTTTGCTACCCAAGGAAGGCTTTTGATCTGGCCAGCTCATCACCAGCCGACCGCACTCGCCACGACCCACACCGGCTTGCCTTCTTCATGCACACCAATAGCCAATACCCCGCTATCATCCATGGAAGCCATCAGCCGCCAATGTCCCATTATAAGCCCGTGACGAGCCGGCCATAGCTTGGCCTTCACAAACAACGAGCCAGGGATGGCTCATGACAAGCGGACTCTGCTTCGGCTGTCTCTCGACCCTAGCACATCCCTAATACTAATGACCATCACCCCCGTCTAGCTTGTCTGAAGAGATGAGGTCGAGCTGAGGGTAATCCAAGCCCCATTGGCGGATACTGGACCGGCCTGGCCCACCATGCTTGAGCCTCCTTTGTTACTGTCGACTCGGTTGTGCCTTCACACACGAGCAGGTCGTTCGCATTTAATCAAGTGTCTGGAACCATACCGACAGCCTTCGGGAAGCTCACCAACCTGCAGCACTTGTGAGAGTGCAATCATCATGTTCGCCAGCTCATCAGTGCTTTCATTCCTCCGGAATCACAAACCTGCGTTCCTTGTTCACCGTTCCAGAGTCCAATTTGGTATCAATCTGCACGACCATCTGCTTGCAGGAGCTTCGCGGCCAATCAGATGTATGGGACCGTCCCGAGCGTCCTCAGCAATCTATCCAAACTTCGATCCCTGTAATTTGCGCCAGAGGTATACAACCTTAGAGGGCATGCTCCTTGCCGAGAAGGTGCAAAGCTGAGACGGCACTGTAAAGGTGTACCAAGTGTTAAAATATATGTTGTGTAGCATGCCAACACATGTGACTGTACACCAATTGTGGTGTACAGTTGGGTTGGGACTACACCCAACTTTGGGTGTAGTCTTGCACTTTGGGGTGCCAATCCACCCAATTGTGGTGGAGCCCCCAAATGCAACCCACTTGGCTTATGGGTGCCTCACTTCCCACAAGTGAGGTCATCTCAAGCCAAGTGGGCCTAGGGTTGCCTCACTTCTACAAGTGAGGTCAACCCAACCTATGGTCACCTTCACCCTTCTCTTCCAAGCCTCTCTTCCAACTATGTATGCTAGGTTTCTCCTCTAATGAAGTTACTTGTTCAATTTGCTACTTTCACATGGTATAGAGCTACTTGTTCCTAGGCCTTACCTCTCCCTCCCTTCAGTTTTTTTTTTTCCCATGGGCCCACCCCACAGCTACAAACCCTTTCCTACGCGTGGCTCAACTAGCCATCACTAGCATACTCTCGCCGCGACCTACGCCGTCGCCGCCGTTCCCCCCCCCCCTCCCGCCGCGATTACGCCTTCCTCGCCTGCGGATACCACCGCCGCGAGCGCAACGCCGCTGTCCCCTCCTCCCCCCCGCCGCGACCCCCTGTCGCCGCCTCCCCCTCTCGCCGCCGCGCCTGATTCGGCGCCGCCTGCGCATCCCGCCGCCGCAACGCCTCGTCGCCGCCTGCCCGTCCCTCCGCCGCGACGTCACGTCGCCGCGTTCCCGCCGCCGCGCCTGCTACGGCGCCGCCTGCGCATCCTGCCGCCGCGACGCCTCGTCGCCGCCTGCCCGTCCCTCTGCCGCGACGTCTCGTCGTCGCGTTCCCGCCGCCGCGCCTGCTTCAGCGCCGCCTGCGCATCCTGCCGCCGCGACGCCTCGTCGCCGCCTGCCCGTCCCTCCGCCGCGACGTCACGTCGCCGCCTCCCCTTCCCGCCGCCGCGCCTGCTTCGGCGCCGTCTGCCCGTCCCGCCGCCGCGACAGCTCGTCGCCCCCTGCCCGTCCCGCTGCCGCGACCTAACATCGCCGCCTGCGCATTCCGCCACCGCGACAGCTCGTCGCCCCCCTGCCCGTCCCGCCGCCGCGACCTAACATCGCCGCCTGCGCATTCCGCCGCCGCGACTGCTCGTCGTCACCTTCCCGCGCCCCCCCCCCCCCCCCCCCCCTTCGCCGCACCTGCTTCTTCGTCACCCACGCATTTCGCTGCCCCTTCTGCATCGCCACCCGCCGCAACTGCAACATCGTCGCCCCGCGGTTCCCGTTAACGCGACTGCGCCGCCGCCGCCCTGCCGCCGCCACTGCTTCGGCGCCGCCTGCCCATCCTCCACCGCGACCGCGCCATCCCCCCGCCCACACTTCCTGCCGCCGTGACTGCCCCGTCGCCGCCTGCAGATTCAGCCGCAACTGCACCCTCCCTTCCTCCTCTCCCTACTCCTCTCCCCCCCTCCTCCCCCTCCCCCTGCGCCCCTCGTTGCCGCGGCCTGCCTGCCGCCGCCGTCCCTCGTTTCGCCGCCGCAGCCATTTCCCCGCCGCCTTCACCTTTCCGCCGCCGCAACCTGCTTGCAGCCGCCGCTCTCAACATCGCCGCCGCGGCCCTTCCGCTGTCGCCTGCGCCCTTCGTCGTCGCGGCCTGCTTGCCGCCTCCGCCCCCGACTTTGCCACCGCCTCCCCTTCCCGCCGCCGCACGTTCGCACAGCCGCCTGCGCCCTTGTCACCGTCGCTCCCTGCACCTTGAACGCCTCTGCCCTCCACCGCTGTCTCCCTCCTTTACCCCCCCCCTCCTTCCTCCTGCCAGCGGCAGCAGCAGCGGCAGCAGGGGAAGTGCAGCAGCCTCAGCAGCAGCAACTTCACCCTTGGCCGCCGCGGGTCCACCCGCCGTCACCCATCATGACTGCTACCCCCCCTGCCCCTCTCCCCCCTCCTCACTGGAGCAGTGTTACTCCTCGCCCCTCCCTTCTCAACACTCCGACCCTCCACTCCTCCCCCCCCCCTTATCTCCGCCTGCTCACCTCCTCCCCCCCTCCCCATCTGCGGCGTTTCCAGCAGCTCCAGCATCAGCAGCAGCAGCACCTCCAGCAGTGGCAGCAACCACAATTTCTCCAGCCACACCCCCCACATCTCCTCCAGCCGCGGCAATCGCAGCAGCAGCAGTTCTTCCTACACCGACAGCAGCCGCAATCTCTCCAGCCTCACCCGCCACAGTTTCTCCATCCCCAGCAGCAGCAGTCCTTCCAGCAGCAGCAGCTGCCACAGTTCATCCCGCCGCAGCAGCAGCAGCCACAGTTTCCCCAGCCGCAGCAGCAGCAGTGCTTCCAGCAGCAGCAGCTGCCACAGTTCCTTCCGCCGCAGCAGCAGCAGCAGTCCTTCCAGCAGCAGCGGCAGCCACAGTTTCTTCAGCCGCAGCAGCAGCAGTGCTTCCAGCAGCAGCACCAGCCACAGTTCTCTCCATCCGCAGCAGCAGCAGTGCTTCCAGCAGCAGCAGCCACCACAATCTCTCCAGCCGCAGCAATCGCAGCAGCATCGGTGGTGCTTCCAGCAGCAGCAGCAGCCCAATCTCTCCAGCCGCAACCGCCACAGTCTCTCCCACCGCAGCAGCCGCCGCAGCAACAGTACTTACAGCAGCAGCACCCGCCGCTCTCTCCCTCTTCTATCCATGAAACAACTCTCCAGTACTCTGTGTTCCCTCCCTCTCCTTCCCCCCCCACCCTGGACTTTGTCCTTGACAGTGGGGCCACCGAAACCGCACTAAAAGACGCTGGCACCCTCACCCCCCTCCCACTTCCCACCCAGGTTCATGGTGCCGACTCCAGCTTTTCCATCCCCTGCACTCACCTCTCCACCCTTCCTTGCACCGCCTTCCCATCCGGTACAGTCACCGGTCTCCACATCCCTACCCTTCGCAATAACCTCCTCTCCCATCGTGAACTCCAAGGCGTTGGCATTACCGCCATATACCCTGGCTTTGCTTCCTACTGCGATCTCTATCACACCGCCTCTGGTCGTTTCCTCCTGCGCATTCCCCTTTGCCCTCGCACTCGCCTTTACACGCTCCGCACACCCCGTCCCTCCTTTTGTCACGTCACCACTCGTGCTGGTACTTCCACTGGTCCCCTTCTCCCTCCCCCTCCCCCTCCTCTTCCCCCTCACCCTCCCCCTCCCCTTCTCCCTCTCCCTCCGATATCCTCCTCCTCTACTCCATCCGCCTCCTCCTCCCCCCCCAACTTTTCCCCCACCCCATCCCCCTCCTCCTCTACTGCCCTCTCCCATCCTGCGGTGCTCCTACATCACAGACTCGGCCATCCCAACTTCGCCGCACTTCGCTCCACCGTCACCTCTCGCCTCCTTAACAGCCTTCCTCCCACCTTACCTCCCCTCCCCTCCTCCCCTGCTCCCCCATGCCCATCATGCATTCATGGCAAGCTCAAACAGTCCCCCCATCACAGTCACCCCACCTTCGCTCCCGCCCCCATTGACCTTGTTCACATGGATCTCTGGGGCCCTTATCCCATCCGCTCTCGTCAGGGGCACAGGTACATGCTCGTGCTCGTCGACGACCACAGTCGGTACTCCACCGTCTTCTTTCTTCACACGAAAGACCAGGTGCCGGCTGTGGTCATCAACTGGGCTGAGCAGTGCCGCAACCACTTCAAACGTCCCATAGGCCGCCTTCACTCTGACGGTGGGGGTGAGTTCATCAATCATACTCTCTCCACTTACTGCAAAACATACGGCATTCAGCAGACCTCCACCCTTCCCCACTCCCCTCAGCAAAACGGCATCGCTGAGAGTCGCATCCGTGAGATCACCAAGATTGCGCGCTGCCTCATTGCTCACGCCTCCACCCCTCCCTCCCTCTGGAGCTATGCTCTCATTCATGCCGCCCTCCTCCTCAATCTCCGCTCCCACCCTCAGCATCCCTCCTCCTCCCCCACAGAACTCTGGTCCAAGGCCAAGCCTGACGCCGCAGGCCTTCGTGTTTGGGACTGCAAGGCGTTCGTCCTCATTCCACCGGCCGACCGCTCTCGCGCTGCTGGCAAGCTCGCTCCTCGCGCTCTGGAGTGTGTCTACCTTGGGCACAATCGTGATTCCCCTGGCTACCTATTCCTCCACCCTCCCACCAATCGCCTCATCCGCAGCATTGACGTCGTCTTCGACGAGTCCACTCCCTACTACTCCACCCCTCCTCCTGACCCCCTCCCTCCTCCCACTCGCCCCCTCGCTTGGACCGACACCGTCCTCCCGCCTCTTCTCCCTCCAGCGCCTCTCCTCCCACCTGTCGCCGCTCCACTCCCGCCTTCCTCCTCTGCCGACGTCTACAACCCTGCCGCACCCGCCTCCCCCGCTCACTCCACTGCACCCCCTCCCCCCTCTCCCTCCTCCTCTCATTCTCCTCCTTTCCAGCAGCCGGATCAGCAACAGCAGGGGCAGCAGCAGCAGCAGCAGCAGCCGGATCAGCACCAGCAGGGGCAGCAGCAGCACCAGCAGCAGCCGCGGCAGCAGCAGCAGCAGCCGGAGCAACACCAGCAACGGCAGCAGGGGCAACAGCAGCAGCAGCAACGGCAGCCGGGGCAGCAGCAGCAGCAGCAGCCGGAGCAGCAGCAGCAGCAGCAGCAGCAGCCGGGGCAGCCGCAACAGCAGCAACCGGGACAGCAGCAGCAGCAGCAGCAGCAGCAGCAGCAGCAGCAGCAGCAGCAGCAGCAGCAGCAGCAGCAGCAGCAGCAGCAGCACCAGCAGCAGCAGCACAGTCAGCAGCAGCAGACACAGCAGCAGCACGGTCCGCAGCAGCCGCAACAACAAGGGCAGCAGCTTCAGCAGCACCAGCAGCAGCAGCGGCGCCGTGCCACTTCCCGCTCCTCCCCCTTCCTCCTCCCTTACATCCATACCCGCTCGGTGGACAAAATCCTTGGGGCTCCTCCTCCTGCCTCCATTCAGCTCCTTGAGGACTCCCATGAGGAGTTCCTCAACATTCGGGAGCACACTCCGTTCCTTGCCTCCCTCTACCTTGACTTCCTGGGCTTTCCTGTCCTTAGCGCCACCACCACCCCCACCATCTTCACTCCCTCCACCTTCCAGGAAGCCATCACCTGCCCTGACGCGGATAAATGGATAGCAGCGATCTTCCTGGAGTGTGAGGCATTCATTCGCAACGACTCCTTTGTCGATGTCCCCCTCCCAGCCGGCGCCAACCTCGTGGACGGGAAATGGGTCTTTCGGGTGAAGCAGCTACCGGGCGAGGAACCGGTGTACAAGGCCCGCTACTGCGCCAAGGGGTTCACGCAGACTTGGGCCGAGGACTACTGGTTCACCTACGCCCCCACCGCCAAACCACCCACCCTTCGCGCCGCCCTCGACATTGGCGCACGTGACAACATGGAGATCGATTCCATGGACGTCTCCAATGCGTTCCTGCAGGGCGACCTGCACGAGCGCATTTTCCTCCGGCGACCCCCCGGGTTCCACGCAGCCTTCCCTGAGAACACTGTCTGGCAGCTGCGCCGCCCTGTCTACGGTTTGAAGCAGGCACCGCGTGAGTGGCATGCGAAGCTGGCTGCCACCTTAGGGTCTCTCGGCTTCTCTGCTTCCCACTCCGACGCCAGCCTCTTCATCCGCTCCTCCCCCCGCCGATTCTTCATTCTGGTGTATGTGGACGACATGATCCTGCTCTCTGACACCAGGGCCGACATGGAGCAGATGAAGCTGTCCCTGCAGCAGCGTCTCAAGTGCAAAGACCTTGGCGCCCTCACTCACTACCTGGGCATGGCCATCACGCGCAACCGCCCTGCTCGCACCATCACCCTCTCACAGTCCCACTACATCGGCCAGGTCTTGGAGAAGTTCGACATGGCGCAGGCCAAGCCTGTCTCCACCCCCCTCCCTTTCGGCCACCAACTCGCACCACCCTCCTCCCCCACCTCCTCCCCCCACCCCTATGCCGAGCTCGTTGGGTCCCTGATGTACGCGATGATGTGCACCCGCCCCGACCTCGCCTACCCCATCAGCGTGCTCGCCCGCTTTGTCGGCACCGGTCGTCACACTGAGGAGCACTGGAAAGCTGCCAAGCGGGTCCTCCGCTACCTTCGCGGGACCAAGGACCTTGCCCTCACCCTTGGCGGCCCTTCCCCTCCTCTTCTCTCGGGCTTCAGTGACTCCTCTTGGGCTGACACGCAGCCGGACCGCCGCTCCTCCCAGGGCTACGGCTTCACCCTTGGCAGCGGCCTCATCAGCTGGCGCTCCACCCGCTCCTCCGCCATCTCTCTCTCCACCTGCGAGGCCGAGCTCTACGCTGGCACCATGGCCGCCCAGGAGTCCCGCTGGCTTTGTTTCCTTCTTGCAGAGCTTGGCGCCCCCCAGACGTGCCCCACCCTCTGGTGCGACAATGCCAGCACCATCCATCTCACTCAGGACCCCGTCTATCACGCCCGCTCCAAACACATCGAGCTCCGCTACTTTTTCATTCGCGAGCTCGTCCAGAAGGGCCTTATTGCCGTTCGCAAGATTGCGACCGAGGCCAACTTGGCCGACATCTTCACTAAGGCCCTCCTTCGCCCTGCGCACTCTGCTTTCCTCCGCCTCATTGGCCTCGCTCGCCCGGGCGCCCCTTGATTCAGGGGTTGTTCTCTTCCTGTGTTAGCATGCTAAGGGGTTGTGTTAAAATATATGTTGTGTAGCATGCCAACACATGTGACTGTACACCAATTGTGTTGTACAGTTGGGTTGGGACTACACCCAACTTTGGGTGTAGTCTTGCACTTTGGGGTGCCAATCCACCCAATTGTGGTGGAGCCCCCAAATGCAACCCACTTGGCTTATGGGTGCCTCACTTCCCACAAGTGAGGTCATCTCAAGCCAAGTGGGCCTAGGGTTGCCTCACTTCTACAAGTGAGGTCAACCCAACCTATGGTCACCTTCACCCTTCTCTTCCAAGCCTCTCTTCCAACTATGTATGCTAGGTTTCTCCTCTAATGAAGTTACTTGTTCAATTTGCTACTTTCACACCAAGATGCCATTGAGGATTACTTGCATCAGGCAGGCATGAGCACTGCCTGAACCTTCTCTGGTCGAACTCTGCCGGCTCGAGTTCTTCGGCCTCATATGCTGGGTGTTCATTGCCAACTTTGCATTACTCTGGCCGGAAAATTTCCGGTTCGTCCCGGGAACAAGGCTCGTGCTGTTGTTGCCCGCGCCTATCAATCCTTCTTGTCATAGCTACCCACCAGTCATCCAAACATTGTCAGCCACAATCCATCGTGCTTGTGTGTGTGTGCTGAGGTGGGAGGAGTGATAGAGCTCCCTCTCCACAATCTGCATCTGCTTGCATCACGAATGAGAGGTAGAGTTGAAGGAGCTGTAGCTCACAATGTCCCCGCCATCTTCCCTTGTGGTGCTCCTCCTTTCCCATGCATACGTGTGCATGCATGCATGCATGTATGCATGCGTGTATGCATGCGTGTATGCATGTGTATGTGCGTCTCAGTCATTTGCAGGGCAATGGCTTCTCAGGACCCGTGGATTACATCGTGCGAACCATGAAGAGGATTGAGAGCCTGTGTGTATTGTTGTGCACTACTGACTGTCTAGCTCCAAACAAAGTCTTGGGTTGTTCGGTCACAAGTAACCCTTTTTTGTTGCCAGCCAAACAAACTCGAAATGGACCAGGGGTGCATTCTGGAGATCAAGAGAATAAGTTTGATAACAAGACGAGTGCGAATTCTGTATTGACGTTGTTGGGCATACTCCGTATGGTATGGGAAGGTTGGAATTGAGTCGTAGGGGAAAACGGGGGAGGGCAAGGATCTGTTTGTTTGTTATTTGTTTTTTTTCTAGCTCTTTCCCTCTCCAATGCATGTCTCAGCTGATCTGAACATGATTTTCAAGCTATGGGGTGTATGTGTGAATGACATAAAACAAGACAAGACATAGAAATCTGGGGCTATGACTTCTGTTCTGCTCTAAACCTCTAAAACCTGCCAATGTTCCCGAACTCCATTTTCATACTTACAACCATTTTGTTTCTGGCCTCCTCCCTCCGCCCTTCTCCCTCCCTTCCATTTCACACCTGTAGAAATCTGAACCATAATCTGTTCAGTGGTCGTCTGCCCAGCCCTGCCTCGTCCGGCATCTTAGAGTACAAGATGAACAGCAATTTTTTCACACACGGGAATGTCAAGTTCAACTGCTCAGCTGCTGAATGGAGCGTCGATCTCAACTGCCTCTCCACTGACCTGCTCATCTGTGGCCGTGTTCCGTCCTCAAGGTCCCCAGCTGCCTGTGCTGCATTCTGTGGGATGGAGGCTGGGTCCACTGCCTCTGTGTGTGAGGGGCATGGCTACTGTTCTGTGAATCAGTTCACTGGAGGGGGGGAGTGTGTGTGCGATCCCAACTACCTTCTTGACAGCACCAACACCAACGTCTGTTTGCCAGGAGATGTGTGTTTCCAGGCCCACCTCGTTGAGGTTCAAGTTTAGCTCATTCTGTTTGCTTTCGGGTGAGCCACTGGCCTGCATGGCAACTAGGCAATTTGCTTTCTCAACACCAGTTCGGCATTTTGGTTGCTCTGAAATCGCTGTTCGTGTGTCTCTTCCCTTGCACCTGCAGCCGTTGGAGGATCGCTGGCATCAGACTCGGCCTATGTGGCTGTGCGGGGATCAGCTGCTGTGCTTTCCAACGGCTCCATTCTTCTCACAGGAGGGGCGCCCAACCAGCAGGGAGCAGCGTTTGCCTCTCCCGCGCTGCGCCTCTTCTACTTCCCCAACAAGCGCTCCCTCTGCGGGATTGAGCTCGCATTCACCGCTGCCTTCAGCTTTGCCATGCATGCACTGGGCCACGTGGCAGTTGGAGAGGGCTTTGCATTTGTGGTGGCGGCAGCTGCTTCTGGCAAGGGGGCGAGTGTGGGGCTGGGAGGGGTGGGGAAGCGGAGTGTGGCGGTGGAGTTTGACTCGGTGCTGAGTGTGAAGCACAGCGACCCCAATGACAACCACGTGGGCGTCAATGTGGGCGGTTCACCTGTGTCCCTCGCCTCTGCCACGGCCCCTCTCATCCTCAACGATGGCCACACCAAGCACGCCTGGATCCACTACGACCCCACCAGCAGCGGCACCCTCCGAATCTTCCTATCCTCTGAACCCGACCAGCCCCTCGGCCCCGCCCTTACAGCAAGCGTGTCTCTCTGCTCCGTGCTCAAGCCCACTGCATCCGACTCTCTCTTCCTCTTCGGCTTCGTTGCCCTTTCAGGCAGCCAGCCCCAGAGGCACACCATCCTGAACTGGCAGTTCACCACAGGTATCATCCCGGCACTCCGTATAACTTTTTTCCGTCACCTTTTGCTACTTTTATCGGTCATCGTCTGTTTTCGGTGGCACTTGTGCTGTGTGAGCTGAAATACGTTTGTCTTCTGGTCATGAAGCTGAAATGCCCAACAGCTTTGTGTCAAGAACTATGGCAATTCTCACACTTGAATATTTTCCATTTAGATGTACTGGTACAATGATTCTCTCTTAGATTGAAGTGTCTATCTTACTCTTGTTATTTCCTTACCAAAAGCCTTCCCCGCTCACCCTCCCCCCTCATCCTTGCACAGAGTAATTCATCCTCAAGTGTGTCACTCATCCTCAAGATGCTCTTGGGTAGATCTTTGGAAGATATGTTTTGTCTTACCGTCATCGCCCGGATAGTAGACATATATGTCTTATCTCGTACACTACTCAAAATGCTTGGGTTATCTTGTATTTGGGATGGTTTAGGGTGTCTTATAAGTCTTATAAATAGAAAAAAATATAAGGACTATGTAAAACTTGCAAAGTGTGTAGAAACCACCCCTGTACCATTATACCTTTGAATTAGGGCGACCTCGGTGGTGATGCATGCAGCGCCCCCACTTGCCATGTGAGGGATGCAGCAAAGCTGCCACTGCTGGCAACATCCCTCCGTGCTGGCAGCATTTAATGATGCTGCCAGCGTCGTTTTCCTGCCAGCAGCGCTGGGATGCTTCCAGAATGCTGCTGGCAGCACGATGGCAGCATCAGGGCTATCCTCTACTAGGAGATTCCTCGTAGAGGAGCGGCTTGGCACCTTTGGAAGGGGCACTGTGGCTGGAGGGGGTAGTCGGGCTTGAGCTTCATTTGGTGCTCAAGGAGGTTGAGATCTCAACTCAACCTTTGCTCTTAGCAGGCTTACCGTAACCATGCGCAGCAAAGTCCCTGCAGGCACGTCCTCACCTCGCCCTCACGTGCAGGTGAATAACTACGAGCGAATTAACTCGCCCGGTGATGACATCCATGTAGCCATGGCGAAGAATACGCGCAAGACGGGAAGATCTACCGCCGCCTCCCATGCGAGCTATGACTGGGACGATGGCGACGAAGGACACGGCGGCGACGACGGCGACGGAGAACATGGCGACGACGGCGACGAGGATTGGCCGGAGAACGGCCACGACGATAGCGCTTCGGGGGATGAAGTAGCCCATGCCGACATCGATGAGGACGAATGGTGGAATCGGCCGGTTGGGAGCGACGGCGAAGTGGAAGAGTGGCAGGCTGGTGATTCGGACAACGACGAGGGTGTCGATGCTGATGGCGAGCACGCGGAGGCAGCTGCGCATGCAACGGGAGCGACGGGCGATGACGGTGCGGAGGCTGACGACAAGGCGGATGCGGAAGCGAGGACGACGACGGTGGAGGCGGATGCTCAGGCTGACGATGAGGCGGAGGCGGAAGCGGATGCCAATGCTGTTGCGCCCGCGGATGTGGTCGCAATTGCGAATGCGGATGCTGCGGAGGGAGGTGCCGATGACGACCCGTGGAGCATCACGGGTGACGACGATGTTCCGCTTCTGAAGCGGAGGCTGCGTCATCTCTTATAGTCCAAGCCGAAGCGTGCCCGCGTGGTGCTCTCTGATGACGACAGTCCGGGGGAGGAGCTTCAACCGCGCATCTCTGCTGCAGACAAGGGGAAAACCAAGGTCACGGATGCCCCTGGTAAGACCACCGTTTGTCGCCGCCCAAGCACCAAGAAGCGGAAGAACGACGGCGACCCCGGATCCAGCACGGGTGCTGCTAAGAAAAAGAAGAAGGGGCCAAACAAGGACGACATCCTGGTCAACGAGGCGCTCGGCAGCGACGATGAATACGCTGAGGCGGCAGGCCCAATTCCTTCATTGAATGAGAAGGCGAAGCCGAAGGACCCCACCCTCCATAATCCCAACTCCCGTCCACCTTCCCCTCGCAGCAAGGACAGTAAGAAGAGGCGCCGCGGATGGACCGTACGCGAGAAGCTCAAGTCGGCGCGCCGCTACCAGGAGCTCGACTCATTGAAGAAGACCTTGCTCGAGTCTACCGCATCTATCGCCTGCATCAGACGCTGGAGTGCAGAGGCTGCTGCGGGCGTCTACAAAGGAGCGGCTAACTGTCGCAAGCGGATGCACGAGGGGGGCCGCCACGCACACTACCCCGACACGGAGGCGGCGTTGTACTGCTACGTCTGCCTGCAACGCGCTAATGGGGTGGCCATCTCGGTGAAGGACACCCAGAAGTGGAGCCGCGAGTGGATGAAGAAACACCACCCCGGTAAGAACTGGAACGCGAGCTCTCACTGGAGCCAGCGTTTCCGTGACCGCTGGAACCTGGTCATGCGTGTGAAGACCAAGGTCGGCCAACGGTTATCGGCTGGTGAGTGTTAACTGCCTTGAATTCCTTGCCCCTTGCTTGACCGCATGTTGCTTGCCCTTTGTTTCTAACCATCCCGTCCTGCCATGGCGTGTGTTCCCTTTGCAGAGTGCGCTAAGGACTGCGAGTCGTTATGGAAGTTCGTGCGCATCAATCGGGCGTGGCACAACATCCACCTGGCCCGCATCATCAACGCGGACCAGACGCCGCTCTTCGTTGAGATGCCGGCCGAGAGGACGATCGAGCACCGTGGCGCGCGCTCGGTCCCAATCCGCACTGCAAGATACGAGAAGACGCGGCTCACGATGATGCTCGCGTGCACTGCATCCGGGGAGAAGCTGCGCCCTTGGGTTTGGTTCAAGCTCAAGAACGTGCCCAACTGTGAGATTCCAGAAGGTAAGCTCAAGGAATTCAAGACCGTAAGCCTGGTGAGCCTGCCCTCCTCGACTGCCGCCCGTCTATCCCCTATGTGCCTGGCAGGAATCATATGCCAAGCACAGGACAACAGGTGGATGGACGAGAGCGCTGTGCAGACCTGGCTGACCAAGGAGGTGCTACCCCATCTAAACCCCCAGCGCGGCCAAAACGCGAGGCGTGCGATGCTGATGTTGGACTCCTACCGCGGCCACATCACCCAGACCATGCTCCAATCTTACCGCACGCACAACATCACCCCTGCAAAGATCCCAGCAGGTTGCATGAGCCAGATTTAACCCCTTAACGTCAACATCAACCGGTGCTTCAAGGCTGGTGTGCGAGCGCGCTACGCCAGGTGGTTCATGCCTGAAGGGATTCACCTGAAGACGAAGAAGGGTGAGTAGCCATGTGAATGCAACTTCTGCTCTGTTTTCTTTCCATGTCTCTAACGGCTCGCTACCCATGCCTCTGTTCCACACGCAGGGAACCAGCGGAGGCCTCCGCACCTCGTGGTGCTGCAGTGGATCGCGGAGGCGTGGGATCAAGTCCCCAAGCAGGTCATCATTGACGCGTTCCGCCACTGTGGGATTTTAAGCAAGCTGGACGCGACGGAGAACCACCAAATAATGTCTCACCTGCACGCTAGGAGCACTATCAATGTCTTCGAGGACATGAGCCTCGGTGGAACCACGGGCGACAACATGCGCCTGCTTGGGCAGGCGCTAGAGGAGGAGGAGGGGGAGGAGAAGAAGATGCAGGCGGAGGGCGTGAGGGAGGTGGCCGTGGCAACCGGCCTGGAGGTGCTGTACTAGGAGACCCCCAACTACCGCGGAGCGGCGGCTGAGGCTGACCGCATGATCGAGCCTAGGGAGACGGCCAGGCATGCCTGGCGAGTGCCAGACTTGGGTGTTGACCCTGCTGTTAGTGCAGGGGAGGAGGCCGTGACTGAGGAGGGCTAGGTAGAAGTAAATATTCATAGATGTACATGCATGTACCCCCTAAAGGAACTAGTGATCGTTTAGAAGACACCACCTGTTTATAAGAAAACCCCTAAACCCCTGTTCTGGTTATAAGACATATATGTCTTATCTCGTACACACAAATAGGTGTTGCTGATATAACCAAGGATCCAGTAGATAAGATAGAATCTGTTAAGTCTGAGAGGAGACAATGAGGTCTCTGTAGTGACCTTGTTGAATAATAATTGAAAGAGAACAAGATGATTGAAAGATAGGAGTACAAGAGATTAAATAGAAATCTAGCTAGCCATGTACTCTGAGGGGTACATTCCCTTATTAACTGTATTGCATAGCTACAGTAACCGTGACTATTGCTATCCTCGACAGTTACCATGTTGCAGTGAATTAACTGTTGTGCGGTTACTGGATCGTCAAGGGTCACGACCGTTGACTTCCTCAGACGGTTGACCTTCGGGTGACCCTCGACATTCCGCATGCTCTATATGCTATTGCGGTACTGGTACAGTGGAACAGCTCCGGGAATGCTTTATATAACCTTTCGGTTATTCCAACACTCCCCTTCATTCCTGAAGGTGGGCCACGTGGGATTTCTTGGTGATCCCGCAGAGGTCGGCGCAGCGTTGGTACTGCTGACGTGGCAGCTTCTTCGTCAAGAAATCAGCTGCCATGTCACCGGTCGGGCAGTACGTCAGCTTGACTTTCCCTTTGTCGATTTCATCCTTCACGAAGAAGTAGCGAAGGGCGATGTGCTTGGTGCGGTTGACGAAGCCGGGCTTGTTCGCGATCTTTATCGCGCTCTGATTGTCGCAGAGTAACGTGAAGTGCCCGTTCATCGTCACTTTCGCTTCTTGCAGGAGCTCCACCAGGTACAGTCCTTCGCGAACAGCTGCGCTAGCTGCGATGAATTCTGCTTCTGCTGACAAGAGAGCGATAAGTTCCTGCTTCTGAGAGTTCCAGGAGATGAGTCCGGCAGGTTGGAGTTGAAAAATGAATCCTGTGCGGGAGCGTCTGTTGTCAACATCTCCAGTGTGGTCGGCATCTACGTAGCCATGGAGCTGTAGAGTAGCGGTGAGGTTAGCTTCGTAGGTGAGACCGACGTCGGGAGTGGAGATGAAGTACTGTAGTGCTCGGCGTAGATCCAGTAGATTCTCCCCTTCAGGTCGCTTCAGGTACTGTGCGAGCTGGCTTGCGACGTAGGAGAGATCGGGCCGGCACGTGACGGCGGCGAACAGGAGACATCCCAGCTGCTGCTGATAGAGACGATGGTTGTCGGGAGAGAGCGGTGTGGTGTCTGGCTCGTGGTTAGGAGGAGGAGTGCGATAGGGGGTAGTGAGGTTGATTGGTGCGATGGAGAAGCGCTTCGCGAGTGTTTCAGCGTACTTGGCGGCGGAGAGGTGAATAGAGGAGGCGGACTGAGTCACATTGAGGCCGAGAAACTGGGTGACGTTGTGGTTGATTGTCACCTCCAGTTTCTCTTTGATGTCAGCCTCAAACTGGTCCAGCAGCTCCGTGTCGTCGCCGG